ATAGCAGAGAGCAGCGGAAGGCACTGACAGAGCAGGGAATGTGGATTCAGATCCAAGAGGAGAACAAATGGGTGAGCACGGCATTCCAGCCTCTTCACAGCGTGTATAATCTGCAGTTGCTGCGCTACATTATCCACTGTGCTCCCTCAGATCTTAACCATTTTCGTGCTGCTTCCTACTTCTAAAGAGAAGACTCCCCCAGAGTCACCTCTGCTAAACAGGGATGCTGATGGTTCCAACGTGTCTAGAAAATACTCAGACATTGTAACACCCAGAATAAAATGAAGGGAATATGCAGAGCATGAGTAATGCTATTAAAAGCTCCATTTTGGGGGCCTCCCCAGTGGCACAGCGCTGTTAAGCTGTCCGCAGCATCTGCCATGCTGGTTCAATTCCTGGCCGGCCAGGGAGATACCCACATGGCTCAGCAGACCTCTCCTGTCTCGCCCGCTGCTCCCCTCAGCAGTGTATTTCGTCAGTCTGCCTGTTCTGTTCCCCACTCTGTCTCTGGTGAATCCTCTCACCTTCCCGTGCCTCTGGCCTGTACCCCAGCTCTTGTATAAATAAATAAATTTAAAAAAAAAAAACAAACTCCATTTTTAGAGGTGGGGCCAGGTTGGGATCCTTGGGAGAAAAGGTAGCTTTTGGCAACAGGAAATCATGAAGTAGGGAAGAAATCACCTCCTTGAGGGCCTTGTGACTCACACACCACAGCCACCTTCCTTGTAATGAGGAAGAAGGAGAACCAGTGTGGCCTTACTTGTGTTTTCTGGCCCCTGCTCTGCCTTCCAAAGCTGTCGCAGTGAATAGGACTCAAATCGAGATTTCCACATCTCGGAGGGAGGGATGTAGCGCGTAAGTTGATGAGTCTGTGTGTGTGAGAGAGTGGGCATTTCTGTCTCTACTCCTTCCTCCTTTATCCCCTTTCCATGCACCACGCCCTCCCCTACAAGATGGGGAGGTGAATCTGTTCTCTTTTCTTATAAACTTAGTTTCCTTCCAAGCCTTTGAGGTATTGGAAGGGCTATAATTTTGAGTTTGACAGAACAATTAATCTGTACCACTTTGTGTTAACATCCCCTGTCAAAGCCCTGGATGCCCTTGAAAGCCTACTTCAAAACCTGCCTACCTTTCTAGAGTCTTCCCATTTTATTCCCCTCCCCCAGACTCAGTACACTGTGCTGAGCTCTTTTTATAGCACACACCACAATCTGCTCCTGAATCAGACTTAGTGGGGTTCTCCCTTATTTGGAGTTCCTGGAGACAGAACCTTGCCTTCTTGCCTTTTTTCTTGAGTCTCCTTCTACAGTGTCTGGCAGTAGATGTGAGACCCACTTGTTTGAAGCCCAGTCCAAGTTATTAAATATCACATTTAATCTCAAGAGATCATATAGCCTCTTCTTCAAAGGTGTCAATTTATCATAATCCCTATATCATATAATTACACTTATCTATTTGTGTCACACATCCTGATAAACAGTGGCTAATTGTTCTTTATTCCTCTTCATACTTGCAACGAGATTCTCGATAAATGACTATTGAATTAACAGATATTTACTTATGTTGTGTATTAATGAAGCAGGGAACTAATATAGAATATTTGTATTGGGAGAATAAGAAAAGGGCACAGAAAGAAGAGAATAAGAAAAAGGAAAGATCTAAAGATCTTATCACCTTCAAATATTCATTAAACATTGTGAAAGAATGGAGACTCTCTTACCAGGAACATTACTTTTTCATAGCCACTAATAAAGTTGTGTTTACAATTTTAAATATGCACTAATACGCATTACATAGATTTAGTTCATAGAATGTTCTGGGTTGATAAATTTTGATTTGAAATTAGGATTTGAAGTGCACCACCACAGTTATAAATTTATTAGACTGGTACTTTGGTTACTATCAACCGAGTAATAATTTGTTATACTTTCAAAAATGTTTTTCAAATTAGTAGCAAGATGTATGACTAGGCCTCTTCTCAGAAACCTGCGTTAAAACTTGGATTTTTAACTTTCAGTGACTTGTGCAATTTGGACATTATCTAGACACTTTAAAGGCAAGATACAGATGAATACTGGTTATTAATATTTGGAACACCACCTGTTCACATTTGAGCGCTGGGTGTTTACTTACTCACAGAACAAACATCTGAGAACCTTCTACACGCCCAGTTGTAGTACATTAAGTTCTCACTTAGCATCACCCTTATGTTTTTGGAAACTGCAACTTTGAACAAAACCCTATATAGATATAGTGAAAGCAATTTGACCACAGGCTGATTGGTACAAGCAAGAATTAAGTTGCTACAGCATATTTCAGGTCACAAAAACATCACCAAACTTCAAAATAAAGACAAAATATTCCCCTCATTTTATATAATTCATATCCATTTATCCACCTTCTAGCTCACTTATTCCAGTTCATGATCTGGGTGGTCAGAACCTGTCCAGGCAGCTTAGGGTCAAGGTGGGACCCAACCTTGGACAGGGTGCACTCACGCTCACTCTCACTCTCACTGAGACAGTCTAGACATGCGTGGCCACCTAACCGAGGCAGACCTGGGAGAAAAAGCAACCCCCCACAGAGAGAGACCCTGCTGGGTATCAAGATTATTTTTTTCTCATCAGCATTATAATGAAATGACATTAAGTACAATGACATTATTGGAGGACCTGTTTTATCATTCAAGGACCACGCTTCCATCATATCACAAAGCAGCGATTGAGTCCCACCTGCTTAGGTGTCTTCAGGGCAGCTGTCCAGGTTTTGTGTTGGCAAATCTGCCATTGTGTCTGAGCTAGGAAAGAATTATTATGTGGAATAACAAATGGCTTTTGGTGCTGAGTCTTCTAAGATAGTATGCTGCCAGAAGGTCTCCTAGTTGACATGGGCGGAGCCTCTGGCATATTCCACTACAGTGTAGCTCACTGATGTAATACATCCCAGTAGGGAGCTTGCCCAGAAGAAACAGGGGATCCTGAGGGTGGGGCAAAACTCAGGAAAGACTTACTGGATAATGTGCCATTCGGGGTGAGCTATGAAGTGGAGTTTCTCAAACACATTTGGGAGGGAATAATGACATTTGGGACCAGCACACATCAAACCCCTCAGATGTGAAAAAGCTTTGTCTTTGGACTAGATTTTTTTTTTTTATAAAATAAAATGTGAGAGGCTTAGTAGTAAAAGACAAGGATGGAAAAAGGACAGGGTATATTCTCAGGGGCTGGAATGCCATCAAAGGGTGTGTGGCCCGTGTTGTCTTAGTGACAGTCCGGAGGTGCCTGGTGTTGTCATATCCCATGAAGCTTCCTGTGGTCACCCCCTAACCATTCTCCTCCTTTGTTCTCTCCCTCACAGCTAGCCTCCCAGCCAGAAATCTGGCAATTTTCCTTACCTGTTCTTTTCCCATCATGTCCTTCATCTGATTACTGTCACCTCACCAGGTACCATTAAGTCTAATTTTTTTTTTTTTTGTGGGACCCTCACCGGCGGCTGGGGAATGAACCAGCGCTGCAGAGGCTGCGGGAAGCCTCGCAGCCCAGCGCTCAACCACTGCGCCACCAGGGGAGGCCCTTAAGTCTAACTTTTACTTTCTCTCAAATACATGCACTTGTCTCTGGCCCCTGAGTCCAGGTTACAGTCGTTATGTCATTACATGTCGCCCCTGTGGTCCCCCGGCCCTCCTCTGAAACCCACCCTCACATGCTAACCAGAGAGAAACTTCTAAATGTGAATCTGAACATGTCAGTTCCCACTCAGGCTGACCTTTGGTCTCCGCTGCCCTTGGGGGAGGTTCAGCTCATCGATCTGACCTCCAGGGCCTTCCACCTGGTCTCCAGCTGAGTCCCCAGCTTGACCCGCGGGCCATTCCCCTCCGCTGCTCCTGACACACTGAACTCTGCCCCTCTCCTCTGCCAGCACCTCGGTTCCCACCAGATGGTGTCCAGTGCAGCCTCTCCTTGCCCTGCTCCTCCAACCTTGTCCCTTGGGCTGCTGCTTTCTGGGAGTATTTCCTAACATTTAAAATCTGGATGTTGAGCCTCCTTGTAGGAGCCTAAGGTGCCCAGTATTTCCCTAGTTGTGACATGGGTGAAGCAGCATTTTAATCACTTGTTTCCTCTCTTTCCTGTATGATACTATGAGTTCTGTGCTGGTGGCAGCCAGGCATGGGTCCTGACACAGTGCCTGACACACAGTGGTACTTGTTGACTGTAAGGTCCATGAATATCTAAAGTACCTATTCCCATGCCCAGCACATACTCATATTATTTATATCATGTCCAAGACCTGCAACTATGGTTCTATCTATAGTTGTGTGTTGCCTAATTACAGGGATATGTTCTAAGATATGGGTCCTAAGGCAGTTTTGGCATCACACGAATGTCATGGAGTTTGGTTTACATAAGCGAGAGGGTGTGGCCACTGCACACCTAGGCTATGGGGCTCGCCTTCTGGGACCCCTGTCATCGTCTGTGCAGTGTTACGTTACGTGTGGCTGGAGAGGCAGTGACCATGTGCAGAGAGGTCATGGAAAGGACTGAAACGTGGCCTTAGAAGTGGCATTAGAAAGTCATGGCTGACCTTTGCTAATCAACCCCGAGGAGTGGTGGGAGCAGGCGGCCGTGTTCAGTGGTTTGAAGAGGGTAGCAAGGAAAAGCCAGGACGACTAAGCCCAAGTGAATTTGTAAAAGCAGTTTGCCCAAAAAGGAAAATGCTCAGAGCAGGCAGCAAGTATAGGCAGCAAGGTCAAAGGAAAGTGCCTTTAGGTGATGCATGAACATGTTTGTGGGTGTAGGAAGAGCGTCCGACCTGACGGCAGATGCAGAAACTGATGGGCAGGCGGCCCAGGCTTTTCAGGCCTGTGCCTGGGGCTGAGGCTGCGCACCAAGATCAGAGCAGGGGCATCAGGCTGGGAGGCAGGGATGTGCATGGGGCTCCGGCTGTGCAGGTACCCCCAATTCTGTTATAAGCTCATTTCTCCCTTTCTCTCTGACTTGCAGCTCTTCGGGGGCCTTGTCTGGATTCTGGTCGCCTCCTCCAACGTTCCTCTACCTCTGCTGCAAGGATGGGTGATGTTCGTGTCCGTGACGGCCTTTGTCTTCTCCCTTCTCTTCCTGGCCGTGTTCCTCTCCGGCATGGTGACGCAGATCGATGCCAACTGGAACTTCTTGGTGAGGGATTTTTAAGTCTGTTTCTGGAGAATGAGAGAAACATACCACATGCTTCATTCTGTCCTGAAATGTGTGATTCCAGCTCTGTCTGCTACTGCTGGTGGCAGAGGAAAGGTCAGTTGCCAGGCTGCGCTGTGCAGCCCATGGGCACTTGCTGGAGATAGGGTCCCAGCTCGGGAAGTCGGTGTGGAGAGAGCTGAGCGGGCCTTCTGTTAGATGACCTTCACTGAAAGACTCATTTCATACAAGAAATGGCTTAAGTTAAAGTTACTGAACTTTTCATCAGATGCCTTTGGGAGATGGATGCTGTGACAATAACTTGGAAATTTCCATTGGTTCCTCTTCCAGATATTTAAGTATATATATTCTTTAAAAAGAAAAAAAAAAAAACTAGTTATATAGTTTGTCTATATACTTAGGAAAGTATGTGAGTCTCTATACTTAGAAAAGGGAGTGTTGTATTTTTGACTCCTCGCCTAAATTAACAAGAATCAATAAATTTTAAGAAATGGATTTACGGTCAACTCGGTTTTTAAATATGAGACCATGAAATTGGACCAGCTTGCTCTCCCGCTGTCATGTCAGGGCCTCTCATGCTTGTGTTTATTCATCTTCTGGACTAGCTCAGAAGGGCCTCATGAGCATGAATTTCAATCCACGGGCACAGAACTTTAGTGAAGCTAAAACCCACTGGGTCTCCATCACGTTTTGATGGCTAGAAATTTAAATCAGACCTTCAGTCAGTTAGACTTTATGTATGCATTCCTTTCAAGTATAGGCATACCCCACCTACAGGTTTTTTTTGCCCATAGAAAGTGCCCACAAAAAGAAAAAATAAGTATGGATGGCATCTGCTGTTGAAAGGTAGCAACATGCTGTGATTTCCTCTCCACAGGAAAACCAATAAAGAAAAATCATTTTGAAACCCAGATTGGCTTCTTCTCCCCAACTTACAGTGGGGTGAATTTCTAGCTTTCAATATATACTATTCAATATTGTGCTTTTACTTTCCCATTCATTTCAAATCTACCAAGCTTGGGGAAAATACTGAAGACAACTACCACAAATATTAGTTTAGTCTTATGATAAATGAAACTGGAAGCTATATATATATTTAGTCAATATTACATAACAAACACTTCTAGAAAATAAATTCTTTATCAGAATCCCTCTTGCTTCTTCCTTCCTGCACGGTGCATAGGTGACATTGACTCTTACCACAGGGCACAGCAGTGGCACCAGTTTTACAACAGCTCAGGTGAATCTTAGCATTTTTGCAATTATTTTTGATTCCCCTACCCCTTTTCCAGGGCAAAGAGAGCCCAAGATTATAATAAGAAGTAAATAACTTGCTTGTAAAAAAGTTTTTTTTAATAAAGGTATGTACCTTGCTTTATTAGACAGTGATGCTGCACACTTAATAGTCTGCAGTGCAGCATACACATACTTTGTATTTACTGGGAAGCCAGAATATTCAGGTGACTTGCTTATTCTATATTCACTTTATTGTGCTGGTCTGCACCCATACCTGTAATATCTACAAGATGTGCCTCTATGATAACATTTTATTTGTCTGTTTTAGGAGAAATATTGGAGAGAAATATGTGTTCCTTTGTTTATAGAGCATAAAGAGAACTGTCATGTGACCATTATCTAGTGGAGCCCAGGGAATGTGGCTCCCAAGTAAACCCACCAAGGCGAATGGCCAGGGTTCCTGTAAGGCTAAGGAGCAGGATGCTGCGGTGCTTATAGTCTTGCACAGACTTTGAGGTTAGGTCTGTTTTGTTCAGTAGTTCTGTAGACTTGGGCAAAATATTAGCCCTTTATGATTTTCAAATTCTTCCTCTATAAAATGGCAGTAATAATATCTACCTCACGAGATACCATTAAAGAATAACAGAATGAATGTTTATAAGTGCTCTCTTTGTCTGACTTACAGTAAGTGATAAATAATCATAATCCATTAAACATGCTGAGGCTTGCAGTATGAAACTTCGAGAGTCCTCTGTTGTCTTAGGTGGCTGCAATGGTGTGTTCTGACATTTTCCCTTTGATTTTTTTCATTAGTGATAGGCAGCTATTTTTAATAATTGGTCAGATGATGTAGATGAAAGGTCCCTAATTGAGTTACAGATAGACACTTAGTGTCCTCTTTCTGAATGCTTGGCTTTCCCATAATAACGTGCATGAATAAATCTCTAATGTTGGTAAGAGCCACTGAGCTCTTATTATCAAAGATACTAAAGATAATATTTAGCCAATGAATACCAGTGTAGCCCTATTGGAACATCTGTACTAATTACACATAGACATTGCCCTGTCCTGTGCTGCCTCTCCCCAACTGTGGTGCCCCCAATCTCTCTGTCCCTGCCTCGGGGACTTTTCTGAATCACCTAACAACCTAGCAACTAAAGGGTTAATACCTGGAAAAGTCGTGAGTCCCAGCATCCTGCAGTGTTCAGCATTCTTTCTAATTGTTTGATGCACCTGCCTCACCAACATTTAAATATTTTTCCAATAACACTCTTGGTCTCATTAGACTCACATCCCTATCATCTTTTTTTCCCCCCTTTTGCTTATGTTAAGTCTTATGTCTGGTATTAAGTATAGTCCTTAGTATTCTTATTAATTTATTAGTTTTCTTAAATCTGTGTTTCCTCCCATTTTATAGCATTATATCCACTGATCAGATCATAAAATGTATTTTTTTAAATTAAACCAACTTATGAAAGGGACAAGTGAAATTGAAAAGAACTGGCAGACTGTTCCACAGATCACCTCTAAAGATTATCCTGTGTTTATTTTGTTTTGTTTTGTTTTTAGCTGAAGTAGCCAGTCTTACTGAGGGAAAAAGTGGTAATAACACACACCTCACAGTGGTTGTCTCAATGCAATGTCTTGTCAAGTGGTGGGCATGCTTCCTAAGAGCCAGCTCTTACCTTCAAGGAGTTTGCTTGAATATTCTCCATATTAGGGAAGGGCTTCTTTCCCCTCGCTTTTGGGCCTCTTTCTGTGATTAGCCATTTTTAATCACTTGGTCATATATGATAAGGTGTGTACTCTATCTTGTACATCTTCAGCCAAAAAAAATCTTTAAGCCACATATATCGTAGAGTCATCACCAAATAGTGACAGTTTCGATTGCTGCTTCTGGAATCATTAGGCATTAATTGCGCTCCCAAAAAGTTGTTTTCCTTGTGCTAATAGTTTGTTGTCACCTGTGCACTGTGCATGAAGGAAGGAGCAAGAGGCATTTTGATAGAGAATTTATTTTCTAGAAGTGTTTGTTGTGGAATATGGCCTGAAATCTTTATAACTTCTACTTTTCATTGATTGTGAGATTAATCTCACATTCACAGTCATCATTTTCACTATTTTCATTATTTTCCTCATGCTTTCTGGGTGTGGTATAAATTGTGAGATAAAGGTAGAAGATATAATATATTAAATGCTAAAATTTTAATTATTAAAAATGATAATATATTGGGCCTCCCCAGTGGCGCTGCAGTTGAGGTGGCGCAGCGGTTGAGCACTGGGCTATGAAGCTGCCTGCGGCCTCTGCAGCGCCCATTCGATCCCCCTGGTGGGGGTCCCACATGGCGCGCAGACCTCTCCAGCTGCGCCCGCTGCTCCCCTCAGCAGTGTACTTCGGTCCTTCTGCCTGTTCTGTTCCCTGCTCTGGCTCTGGTGAGTTCTCTCACCCTCCTGCACTTCTGACTATACCCAGTGCTTGTATAAATAAATCTTTAAAAAAAAAAATGCTAATATATTAAATGTGTAATTTAGAGGATAGAGGCAGATTTGGGTTTTAGAAAGATTTTTCTTTATTGGTTTTTGTGGAGAGAGAATAAATACCATGTTGTCTAATCTTCAAAGGAGATGCCATACTTATTTTCCCATTTTGTGGAGGCAGGTATTAAAGATAGATCATAGATGAACATTCCAAAAAGAAAGTTCTGTGAGTTAAGTGCATTTCCCTTTACCCTCTGAAACTGTTGTTGACACACATGTGATCATTTGCCTGTTTTGACATCACTTAATATCTTAATGTCCTAAGCTGTATTTTCTGCCCACACACTCATTCATTTGACCTTGAGAACAATTCTTTATGGAACACAGGTGCTACTGTCCTCATGTTTACAGATGGGAAAGCTAAAACTCAAAGTGGCTGTGGTCCCACTTTCATGATGCTCTTTGTAAACTGGGGTCTCTTGTATGCAGTGTAGCTTTTTGTTTTTTTAAGATTTATTTTATTTATACAAGAACTGGGATACAGGCCAGATGCGTGGGAGAGTGAGAGGATTCACCAGAGACAGAGTGGGGAGCAGAACAAGCAGACTGACGAAATATACTGCTGAGGGGAGTAGCGGGCGAGACGGGGGTCTACTCGCCATGTGGGTTGCTCCGAGGCCAGCGGGGATCGAACGGGTGCTACAGAGGCTGCGGACAGCTTCACAGTGCTCCGCTCAACCTCCTGCGCCACCAGGGAGGCCCAGTGTAGCTTTTTGTTAACTAATTAGTGAGCGTTTGACTCTGAGCAGAAGAGGGAACCATGGGCTGGAGATAACAATGTGGAGGAAAGTCACTTGTTCTGAAGAAACTCAAGCTCAGCTTGAGCCTGATGTTCCCTGAGGAAAAGAAGATGAGTGTGCAGCACCCAGGCTGGATGAGCTTCAGGAAGATGGCAGAAGGGCAGGGTAGGTGACAGCCACACAGACAGCAGACACTAAAAGAGCAAGGGCCAAGCTTCAGGACAGGGGCGTTGCACAGGGCAGTCCCCGACCAGCAGCCTCAGCATCACCTGGGAATTTGTTACACATGCAGATTCTTAGGCTCCAGATTTGAATCAGATACTTGGGGGTGGAGCCCCATTGGCTGCTATTCTGATGCCTGGTAACATTAGAGAGCCACGGGCTTAGAATGCCTGATCTGCATCCTCCAAACCAATGAGTGAGTTTTATGGAAGATCTTCTTGCACACATCCCATGCAAAGCAGGATTCAAGTTTCTAAGCACCAAAGTATCAGTATATGTCATGTATCTCAAAAGATCGCCTAGCAGCCTGAGAGTGGGGTCTTTAAGCTGTGTCTTCAGCCAGCCACCCCATCATGATGTCGGGCCAGCAGCTTCTAGATTGAATAGTATGTGACCTAACCATGATCGGGGCATTCCTACTGTAGAGCTTTGTCATTCAGTCGATAGCATATATTATTCCTTTGTATATTATATTAATATTCATGTCCCTGACACAGTAATCCTAACTGAAGTTACATATCTTAGTATAAAACATGATAAAACAGAAGGTGTGTCTCTGTGCCAGGTACAGTGAGTCAGTTGACTTTTATTTGTGGTTTGGTGACTTGACATTGTTAAAGCAGCCAAAATAAATGGTGAATGCAGTTAGAGATTGTTTGATTAAAGGTTCTAACCTTCTGGAACTTTAACGTCATCATTTAAAATAAGGAAGAGAGGGCCTGCCTGGTGGCACAAGAGGTTAAGCACAGCACTGTGAAACTATCCGCAGCCACTGCAACATGAGTTCAATCCCCAGCCAGGGAGCTACCCATATGGCGCAGCAGACCTCTCCTGACTCACCCCGCTGCTCCCCTCAGCAGTGTAGTTCAGTCAGTCTTCCTGTTCTGTTCCCCACTCTGTCTCTGGTGAATCCTCTCATCACCCTGCTCCTCTGGCCTGTACCCCAGTTCTTGTATGCATAAATAAATAAATCTTTTTTAAAAAATAGAATAAAATAAGGAAGAGAACATTGTCATTGTTTTTGATTGTAGATGTCTTTCCTTTCTTCCTTTTTCAGGATTTTGCTTACCATTTTACAGTGTTTGTTTTTTACTTTGGCGCCTTTTTACTGGAAGCAGCAGCCACATCCCTGCACAGTCTGCACTGCAATACAACCATGGGTTTGCAGCCACTCCTGGATGAAAACCAGTATAACATAAACGTAGCTGCCACAGTGAGTATCTGAGGAGTGAGTTGAGTTGTGCTTCCCCTCCAGTGCTAAGGTCTCCCAGAAACTCCTCAGGCAGCAATATTTTTCTTTAATAATAACCGTTAGCAATAAACCTTTAGTAAGTGTTTATCTGCATGAGCAAAGTACTGTCATTATCCGGAGTGTTGTGGATGACAAAACTGAGCTTGGCATTCATGTAAGACTATTGCTCGTCACTGATAGTAGTTGGACTTGGCCAACAAAGCCTACTTTGTAAAGGGAATTCATTGTGCTTTTACTTCTTGTAACTTCAGATATGGTAAGAAAATTGTGTTCTTTGGTATTTAACACCTATTTGCAATTCACTTTAATCATGTGAGAATTAAGTTGCTGGGTATTAGGGATAGTTGCTGAATAAGGCACAGGTGCCGCCATTGAGTAAAGTCCAAGTGAGGGAGGTGGCGGTGAAGATGCCAACCATTGCAATAGATGAGAGACAATTGAAATGCATTCCAGGGTGATATTGTTTGAATTAAGATGCCAGAAGTTCACACTGTTTCCTGCAATGTCTTGATACTTAATATGACTACACAGCAAGGTAGTGACCCTGATGTTTTACTGTCTTGTGCAGATACCTTATAAACAGCCAAGTATTCCCCATATAGCCATTAGAACCTATCTGAAGCAGTGCTAGCCAATAGAGCTTTCTCAAAGTATAGAAATGTTCTAGATATGCATTCTCTAATATAGTGACTGTTGATCCTTGAAATGTAGCTATTATAATTTAAGAACTGAATTGTTAATGTTCTTTCATTTTATCAATCTAATTTGAAATTTAAATAGCCCCATGTGGGTAATTGTCATGTCACTTTAGATAACGCAGTCTAGAGTCTGGGTTTCAAAGTGTAAAGGAGAGACAGTTCCAAGACCTACCATCATGAGTTTCCTAATACTGTTAGGATTCATCAGAATTCATCGAGTGGCTACAGTGAATTAAACTCAGGATGGGATGCAACAGAAAGAGGCTTGTTTCTAGTTTTTAAAGTGTTCACTCTAGTTCAGTGATTTTTATACTTCCTTTTTTAGGGAATTAAATTTAATGAAAGCTTACTTTAAAACTCAATAAATTTGGATGGTAAAAGCACAGATGCCCTGGTTGTAGTAGCAGAAGAAGGTCTTGAATGATGCCTATCTTCTCTTCTTCTGAGGCTACCTCTAGCCACCTCATTCTCTCTGAGACTTTCAGAGAATCCTGGTGTTCAAAAAATGACAGTTGAAAGATACAGGTTATAACAGTTTTACAAAGCTAAGATTAGAGAATTAGAACTGAAGTTTTTTTTCCATGTCTCCTTCCATTTAGTCATAGATTCCCACTGGATTTTCCTTTTCTTCTATCATTCCCTCCTTTTCAGTGGTACAGGTTAGATTCTTATTGCCTCTCTTGGACCCTTGATAGTCCCAGATAGATTTATTTGTAGTTGTCCTGAGATCCTGTGTTCATCAAGTTCTTGATGAATGATGGTGGATGTCATTAATTTCTAAAATTATTTGCCTTAAAAGCCCAGTTCTCAGTGTTCTCCATCATGGGGTTTGTTGCCATGGTTTCTCTTCTGTGACTTTGTCCTTGTTCTCCTTCTTTCTCTCTCCCCCTAAGTGGAGCAGCATTGGTAAATAAATCTTTAGATATTTCATGCTCTATATTAAGTCCTATTTTATCCATGTTCTCCACTATATCACTAGTTTCTGAGTATTAACAACACTTAAATGTATGAACCATTCACTTGTGACGTTATATTGAGTCCCTCAGTTTTCATTTTGCAATGCCTGAGAGGAAACTTCCATTTCACTAAAAGAGATATATCAAAGAGATAACTAATAGAAGTGTGGGAAGGGAAGAAAATGGTACTTCAGCTGTGATATTCCTTCTCAGAATTAAGGTTTGATCCTGTTAAACGATCCCTGTAATAAATCATGTTTTATCATATTGAATTGCTTTTTCTTGTAGTATTCTATGGATCATAAACCCCAAAAGAGTGAGGGAAATATCTACTGTTAGTCTATATAGATCAAGCATAATGATGTGCATTGCATCTTAGCAGGTGCTAAAGAAATCATTGTTTGACTACAGAGGACAGTAATTCAGAGCTGGGCACAGACTTAAGGTCCATTTTCCATGCCAGCCTGATTCATATCTGTGCGTTTTTCTGGTTCAGCCCAAATCACTTCCCATTGTCAAATGAATGACTTTGTATTTTCTGAAGAGTTGCATCTTCTTTGGCTTTAAGATCACTAGACACCTCGTAAATAAGGAGCAAGTGAGTCCAGTATGTGAACAGATGTTCTATAGAAGATGGCCACATAGGAGAAAATTAGTAGGGCTAGAATGTTTGCAAAAAGGATAATCATCTGAAGGGCTAAAACAGGAAAACAAATCATAAATGAGAGGAAATACATTTTCAGAAGCGTGAGGTTTCTTTATCACCAGAGAATTGTTCCTGAGGACAAGTGTTTTCTGAAAGTCCACGTTGTAAATCTGATACAAATTCTTGTTTCTTTTCTCTTAGATTTTTACCTTTGTGACGACAGCTTGTTATGGTTGCAGTTTGGGTTTGGCCTTACGGAGATGGCGACCGTAACACTCCTTAGAAACTGCCCGTGTGTGCGTCTCGTTGGTCTACTTATATCGTCATCTGGTCACTTTGGATATTGTTCGCTCAGAGAGAACAACATTCCAAAAGTAACATGTTCAGGATAGAGAGAGAATCTAAGTAAAAGTTTTTGTTCATATCATGGTTGGAATTTTAATTGTCTTATGATGTAGAACAGAGAAATAACCTATAATTTTGCATCCATCCCTTTGTTTTTCTAAAGAAAACTTCCATTAACATCTATAAAATATTCAATATATAGATATTGTTCATCTCATTCTATAGTTGCTAAGACAACTGAACCTTAATTTTAGTAGGTACCTAAAACTCCTGAAAAAAAAAAAATAGCACATTTCAACTAGGTTTCTTGATGAATCCAATATTTTAGTGTAAAACAAGTTCTGACACTCTTTTTTTATAGTTTCAGATGGTAAATATTTTAGACTTAGCAGACCATACAGTTGCTGTCATAGCTATTCAGCTCTGCTGTTACTACCTGAAAGCAGCTATGGACAATACATAAATGAATGTGTGTGGCTAGATTCCAATAAAACTTTACAAAAACATGCCCCAGGCTGAATTTGGCCTGTGAGCTGTGCACTATAGTTTGCTGACTTCTGGTATAAAACTTTTGTTCTATGTTCTATATTCCACCAGACTAATTTTGAAAGACATGAAACTACTTAGATAAGACACATAATATTTAGTCTCATTATGCAATAATCACTTTGCCTTTGTGTTAATGGTCAGATATTTATCCTTGAAGGAGTGTATAGTTTCTCAAGCTAATTCAAGCAGAGTCTTGGGCATAAGAAAAAGTAATTTATGAAATGATCCCTAGTTCCTTAATCAAACTAAGGGTCTCCTGACAAGTGAGCAAATCTCTTACTTGGCATCTTTCAAATGAGGTCTCCAGGGACCATTAATCACTGCAGGAACTGGTATTTAGCGACTTATATATTATTTTGGATTTATTTATGTTTCAGAATATACTTGTTTGCCCTGTGCATGAATACAGGAATATTTGTGTGTGGATATTTGAGGTTCTACCAAATAGAGCTCTCTGAAGAATTAATTGTTTACTGCTAGCTATTTTGCATTGATGTTTGAGTTAAATTTGAATAGAGTATTAAATTTAACTTAAAGTTGTAGAGTCTTACATGCTTTGATAATCACCCTACATCTGTGTTGTTTTGCTTGGGTAACATACACAAAAGCAGTTTTGAAACAATACCTATCACAAAAACTGTATCTGGCTGGATAGCACAGGGAAAAATACCATATTTTAACCCCTGTAGACATCCTGGCTGTGGAACAGAGTCAGAGTAGTTTGAATGGGAGAACAAGGTAGAGTTAGATTCCAAATGCTGCCACACTGTCCAGGGTGCCCAAAGGGCTGCCTGTGGGGAGAGGGCTTTCGATCACTCTATACTTTCAGCTCTTTGATTTTTGGCTGAATCATTCCCTAAGCCATGTATAAGTTGGGCTGTTAGATTTCATGGAACATAGAACAATCAAGAATGAATATTGTAATCAATGCTCAGTGATCAAATGCTATTTATGTATCAATCCCCTAGAAAGAAAAAAAACAATTAGAGATTAGTTTGTGATATAACTATAAAGATTAAAATATATGTTTTAATATGTGGCTTGAGAAAATCGGTCTTATGACTTTATACACATGTCTTATATTTTCTATACTATCCTACTCCCTTAGTTTTTCTAGGTCCATCTGCCACACTTCAACCTGTATTATGAACTGTATATTACAAAGTCATAAAATGTGCCATAAAGGTATATATTCTAGTGGGAATCGTTTAAAGTTAGCGTACTAGATTTAGCTGTGAGATTTTTATTTTTGTTTCCAAGGTATAACAGGTCCGCGCTTGGTGGCATTAAATTAAATGATTTCATGAAAATGCTTTGGTGGCACTTTTGCACATGGATTGCTTCTTGATCATTAAGAACCAAGCCTAACACTCATCTAACTGTGAATACTTACATTTGTAGATTAATCACATTCTAGATTTGTGAGTTGAATGACAAAGCACTTGAACAAAAATATATGGCATTTAAGAGCTTCTTTATGTATCTTAGTTGTAAAGATGAGAATGTGTTGGTTGGTTTTAAAATCTGGTAACTCCATGATGAAAAGAAATTTATTTTATAAGTGTTATGACTCTAATAAAGTATTCATTTGATAATCTTTTTTGGTCATCTATTTTTTATACAAATCACTTTGAAATTTAGCTAAAGGTTTGATATAAATTTGAGAGATTTGGAGCATTAAGACTCATAAAAGAGTTCTCCTTTAAACATTTCTATTTAAGTGACAGTCTCTCAGGAAACATCAGTAAATCTTTTTTTCTTTCATGAAGGTCAAAGAGGTAAGTCTTTGGAAGTAATGTTACAAAGGACTTTTAAAGGAGAATCATACTCTTATTGAAAAAGCATTTATATAGTGTTCGATATATGTCAGACTGTATTCTAAGCATTTTTTTCAAACCTAATTCATTTGATCCCCCTCACTACAACTCTAAGGTGTAGATACTATTATTCTATTGTAGAATGCAGATCTTAAGAAACAGGTCACATACCCAGCAGCAGGGAAAGCTGATATTTAAACCCTAGCAGTCTGACTCCAAAGTCCAGGTTCTGTGTGTCTCTCATTTCTTCCATATTTCACATCTCTTATATATGTTAAAAAAAAAAAAAAAAGGCAACCCTGTTTCCCCCAAAGAAGTTTTGAGCAGAATGTTTAATAGCATAATTGCTTATTGAAGACGTCACTTTTAGTATCTTTTTGCCATAACCAGGCACTCATGAGTTAGCTGTAATAATTTAGGCTGAAGTTGACACAGGACAAACCTGGGACATGGGCATTGACCCAATTTGTGGGTCCTTACCCACAGGCTTAAGAATGCATGAGACACCCCAAAAGTGGACACACGATGAGACACAACAGGATTTATTTATACAGGGAGTGAGAAAAGGAAGAGCTGGGAGAGAGTGAGGGAGAATATACAGTCTGGTGTGTGACCCAAAGCCATGTGACATGCCCAGATAGAGTCCACTTAGCAGAGACCAGAAAAGCTGTTGGCTTATGTCGTTGGCCCATTAATTCTGGTAAGAAACATGGGGCTTCCACCTGCTCCTTTGCTTTTACAGTGAGTCAGACCTTTCCGGAATTCACCTTACTTCCTGACCATTCCCTAGAATTGACATCAGAAGCATCATCTAGACTGAGATATACCATTTGATCTTTACATGTAAACTAGAAATTCTCATCTCTGCATACACCATTGTGGAATTCTAAGTCATCATCAAGGTTCTATCCTTACCATCATGCTTAAAGTTTGTTACTAAGTGAACCAACATCTTGGTTCATACTGGAGGGATCCAGAGTTTCAGGACAGGCAATATTTATATGTATGTGTGTGATATAATATATGTTATATGTAATATAAATGGTTTGAAAGTTCACGTTTTTAGAAAGAGTATGTTGCTTATACTTGTATTAGGCTATGCCCAGGGCATTAGGTCAATACCTTGTCTCTCTAGAGTGCTCCTCCTGCAGTACTGACAAGCTTGCCTCTTCACTCTCTTTGGGTCTTTGTTTGTTTGGTATCATGGCAGGGAAGTCTTCCTTAAGAACCATATTTGAACCATTTAAATGTGAGCCCTCCAAGCAGAATCCAGACCCCACAAAGGACCAGATTGAGAGCATGTGGAGTGTGATGGTGGCTCAGCAAAGAGGGTAATGGATCCAGAGAGAAGAGAGCCCATGGGTGAGTGGGATATGATGGAGCAGAATGCAGTAATGTGGATAGCATTCGTATGGGGCCTTGCAACCAAATGAAAAGGCTCTGTATCTGTGTTGGTTGGGAAGCCACTGAAGGATTTGAGCAGAAGTGTGGCATCTTCTTATAAAGTCAAATTGGATTAAGGCCTATCCCAAAAATTGAATGTGACTGCAAATACAAAGACTCTATTTCCAAATAGATCCATTCATATGTACTGTGATGGTTAGCAAATCACCATAACTGTTTGGAGTCACAATTCAACCCATAACAGATATGGCAGGTTTGTTTGTAAATTTGAGATTCCTTTGACATTGACTGGAATGAAATTGGATATGTAAGTCTGAAGTTTAGATGAAAGAGCCGATAAAAATATTCAGGGTTATCAACTCTGCCACCCATTTATTTACTGAAAAATCATGGAAAAACTTTAAAGCAATCATAAATGCCTTCTCTATAAGACTGGAAAATACAACCCCTACCTATAAGGGGCTGAGTCTAATAAGACAACACATATGAAAGCCTTCTAAGACATTTCAGCATGCTGGGTCTCCCTGGTGGTGCAAGGGGTTAAGACGCAACTTATGAAGCTAGCCACAGCCACTGCAGCACAAGTTTGATCCCTGGCCAGGGAGCTACCCACATGGCGCAGCAGACTGCTCTCTCCTAACTCGCCCACTGCTCCCCTCAGCAGTGCATTTCAGTGGATCTGCCTGTTCTGTTCCCCACTCTGTATCTGGTGAATCCTCTCACCCACCCCCGCACCTCTGGACTGTACCCCATTTCTTGTATGCATAAATAAATATTTTTTTTTTAAAGACATTTCAACATTCAGATATTGCTGCACTCCACTATCATATATTTGGTACAAGTGTTTTCAGAATATAACATGCTTTAGGATCGCACTGTCTTGTATTTAAAGTGTAATGCCAACTTTTGTCAGGGCAGCTGTATGCAAACAATGATAAATTTTACTTTGGCGGAGATTCTTTAAATGAATTCTAGTGTGGTTGTTGACTTTTAAAAAGGCTTGACATTCCTTAACGGAATGCCCAAAGGGTGACCTCACCACTAAGGTGAAAGTCAACGCCCAAGTGAACTGTTCAAGTGGAAGTTTAGCATTATTCCCAGAGAAAGTCAGAGTTATTTTTAAAAATTATTTAAAATATATACTGAGAACTTGTTTTAGGCCAGGCACTGTACAAGAGATGGACTGTGATGGTGAATAAGATCCAGCAACTGTCTATAAGGAGGGGAAACCTACAAATAAACTCAGTTTTAAGAAAGAACAAATTAATTGCAGATATAAGTGTAGAATGCTAAGGAAAGACTAGCTAACCTGGTCTGGGGGTGGGAGGAGAGGTTATTACATTGCTTCTTGGTGGAAGTGACAGATGACATCTGAAGGATGAATTGGAGTCAATCAAGATAATAAGGAAAAGGGCATACTAGATATAAAGACCCACGAGTGTAAAAGTCCAACAGAAAGAAATGCTGTGTTTGGAAAACAGAGTGGTTCATTATGGCTGTAGCTTGGAGTGTGGGATGGTAATGGATGTAGGGATGACGTGGAGTGGTAAGGAGGGTTGTTAGCAGAGCCCTGTTATGAAGGCCTCTGCCACGCTAAGCCGTTTGGACTCAAGCCTCAAGGCTACTATTGCACTCAAACCAAATATTGCACCTGCCCAAATATCTTAGTTTCTCCTTCTTTACCCATATGTTTGTTTTCTACCTTGAGTAGATGTTGGAATGTTTCTGTTGCCCTGGAAGAGTTTGTCCAAATGTCTTGACTATATCACTTTAGTCTGAGAATTTTAGTGCTTCATTGCAGCAGCAAACAGTAATTCATTCTCAAGCAATCAGAGTAGCAAGTTCTATTTTTAAGTCAACCTTCCTTTCTCTTTCTACCAAGTCACATAATCCCTGACTGGCTGCCAGGTATTTTATGCCCCAGGATTCTAACACAGCAACCCCACCCAGCCTACAAGGATCATTTTTTATTTCTGAAATGATTAATTACTCAAGTGAGTTCCTCTTCCTCTTAAAATTTGGCTAACAGATGCAAGAACAAAGGTACATTTCTGATATGCACCAAGTCTTCTTTTGTCAGGACTACTAGAATGATGTCAGATGAAAAGCAAGTATGGGAACTGACTGACTGGACCTCACGGGGTTAAAGTCCTTGAAGGCCACTGCCTGAGCACTTTGAATTTGTGGTTTTTTTTTCCTTTAGTCTCACCGGTAAAGTATTCCCTTCCTGTCAGCCATGATCTAAAAGATATTGCTAGATAATGCAATTTACAAAATTACATGGAATCTAAAAATTAAATAGGATTTAAAAAATTTCCAATTAACCTGGAATAAACTCAAATCACTTCTGACATTTTGAGCTATTGCATTCTTGACCTAAAGATACATTTAATGAAGAATTTAATCTGATTCAAAACATCAACAAAAATGTCCATTTGTGTGCTGTGTAGGTCCCAGTCAGGAAAAACTTCTATAAGGCGTACCTGGGGAGAGCAACAAAGATCTATAGAGTGTTTCAAAATGAATGCGGTTTGATTCTCTAAATGTTAGATGTGTTGATATCAAGGAGTGGTTTTATCGCTCCTCTGTGAACCCAACTTTTAACAAAAGTCCCCCCTCTTTTACAAAGTAACATTAGTAAGTAACATCTGCTGAGAATTTCCTATGTGCCAGTCACTGATCTAGGACTACTGGACGACACTGAATCTTCCCAGTAATCCAAGATATATGCTTATGAACACCCTTTTCCAGAGGTAGAAACAGGAGGCCAGGAAGCATGTTTAAAGGTCATAATTATGCGGGCCTCCCTGGAGCCTCAAGGGATTAAGACATAGCGCTATGAAGCTATCCACAGCCACTGTAGCATGAGTTTGATCCCAGGCAAGGGAGGTGACCCACATGGCACAGCAGACCTCTCCTGCCCCGTCCACTGCTCCCCTCAGCAGTGTATTTCAGTCAATCTGCCTGTTCTGTTCCCCACTCTGTCTCTGGTGAATCCTCTCACCCCTTGCATCTCTGGCCTGCACCCCAGCTCTTGTATGCACCAGCCTTTTCATTTACCACTGGGGTACTGCATGGGGCACCAGGCTCTGAAGTGCATAAATGCATGAAAATAAGTACAACACGGGTGACCTAGGCTCTGCTGAGTCCTGCTTTACTGTTTATGAGAACTGAGACAAACCCTATCCAGACCTGAATGAGCTCAGGTCACCCACAATAAATCACTGTTGGATCAAATGCCCTGAAATTAAGACTTCAGTCCAAAACTGGAAAGCCTTTTTAGGGAATTATTAGTCTGGGTTTATACTTTTACTGCAGGGTTGCAAGTAAAAATTCTTTTCCTCATTTGTTTTTCTCTTT